TGTCCCCAATATCCCCACTGTCCCCATTGTCCCCCAATGTCCCCAGTGTCCCCAGTGTCCCCTCTGTCCCCTCTGTCCCCACCTGTCGCTGAAGTCCTCGGGGCTCTTGCTCTTGGTCACATGCTCGGCATGTCGCGACAGCCAGCTCAGCTCATCGCGACACAGCGACAGCGCCACGAACACCAGCAGGGCCTGGGGGGGACGGACAGGGGGTCGGGACCGCCCACATCGCCCCAAATTCCCCTCCAAAATCCCCCAAATCTCTCAAATTCCCCCCAGATCTCTCAACCCCCCCCCCAAAACCGCCAAAATCTCCAAAATCTCCCCAAGATCTCTCAAATTCCCCTAAAAATCCCCCAAAATCTCCCAAAAACCCCACAAAATCTCTCGAATCCCCTCCAAACTCCCCGAAATCTCCAAATCTCCCAAAGCCCTCCCAAAATCTCCCCAAATCCCCCAAAATTCCCTCTAAACTCCCCGCAATATTCCAAAATCCCCCCAAAATCTCCCCAAACCTCTCCAAAATCTCTCCAAAATCTCTCCAAAATCTCTCCAAAATCTCCCCAAATCTCTCCAAAATCTCCCCAAATCCCCCCCCGAATCTCTCAAATGCCCCTCAAAATCCCCCCCAAATCTCCTCAAACCCCCTCAAAATTTCCCAAATCCCCCCCAAACTCCCCCAAATCCCCCCGGAGCCCACCTTGGGTCCCAGCAGCCCGGGCTGATCCTCCAGCAGCGCCGCGAGCTCCCGCACGGCCCCGCGCAGGAACGAGCGCTGGCCCCGGTGCAGCGCCGGGCTGGGGGGCACGGCGGGTTTGGGGGGACCCTTGGGGTCCCTGAGGGTCTCGGGGGGTCCCCGGGGGTCCCTGAGGGTCTCGGGGGTCGCGGGGTCTCGGGGGGAGCCGAGGGGGACAGGGGGAGGGGGCAGAACCCCCCGCAGGACCCCGGGGTGGCCCCATGGGGATGGGGGAGGGTTGAGGGGATTTGGGGGGCTCAGGATGGGGGCAGGGGGGGATAAGGGGGGGGGTCACAGCCAGGGTCACCCCGGGGACCCCCCCGGGCACCCCAGAACCCGCGCGAACCCCCGGGCATCCCCAGGGGACAGCGAGTGTGGCAAAGGGGGCGGTGAGGGAGAAACTGAGGCAGAGACCCCCCCCCCGGTTTTGGGGAGCTCTGGGACCTCGCAGCTCCCCCAAACCCCCGGGATCCCCCGAACCCCCGGGACCCCCAAAATCCCCTGCAGACCTGTGAGCCGCCGCGTGCTCCCGGCACTCCTTGACGTCGGCCACGCGTTTCCCGAACCTGGCGAGGGGCACCGGGCACCTGGCACGG